ATATCTGATTCATTTCTGCATCATTTTTATTGAGATCAACGAATTTTACAGATAGGATTCATTCTACTTCAAAGGCGATAAATAGTCCCCGATTCCTACGAACGAGTCAAAGCTAAAGATAAGGCACTGGGTCAGAATGGGAATATCCGGAGTGTTTGACTCGATGGCCTTCGCTAGCCAAGTCAGGAATTCGACTGTGCACGTCCTTGAGTATAGTAGTCCTTGCCTTTTGCAGAAAAACTGTCTCAAAACTGAAAAAACGAAGGGCGTCATGATCTGGAGAATATTTTAAAGAATCTTTTGGCGAAAACCCCATGTCTATCGATGTAGCTATTGAAAAGCCTTTTGAATAGCAAAATTCCGCCTCCACAAATAGATAATAGAAAGGTCTTTTATACCATACTTGGAGTTGTTTGCCCTCTGTAAAAACTTCACTGCAAAGCCCGCTCACCAAAGGCGCCAAATGAAGTGCCAAACACAAGGATTACACGCCAGAGTGCGACGATGTATTTTAGTGCAATGCTAGCGAGTCTAGGTCTAGGCCTATGCTAGCAAACGACTCCCAGCCTTTGTTTTGTTTAGACTGCAAAGTGTGAAATCAAATTTATCTCTATTCTCACGGCAACATGTTATATAAATGCAGTTTCTTAAATTTTCATTTTTGAATCGTACGTTTTCTGCTTGCTTTACCTGTGCTTACGTTGTTCCTGTTTTGTTTGGGGTTTATTTCGTGGAAAAAGGGGGGGGGGGGGGCATACGGCACGGACAGCAAAATATGTAAATTAAAATTAGCAAGGGTAAAAACAAAGGAAAAAAATCAAGATTTTTTCCAATCCCCTCCCTGACTCAGACTGGGACGGGCATGACAATTTTGTTTTCGTTCGAGACTCTTGACGGGATTCTCTTGTCAAATTGTCTATTCATTTGAACTTCGTTAGCCAGGATATCAGTAAGGTTAAAAAAATTATTACTTTCGTTATGGTGGCAGACCATGATTTATCCTACTTGTGAAATTGCCAGTTGTAATCACTCATTGAAACTCATGATTACAACTTGGCAATTTCACTCGTACGAAAAATTCATATATCATCATAACTCGTGTAATTAAATTCTTTGTATTTTATGGGGTCACCTTATGACTTATTTGCTTAGGCAAATTTAATTTACCATTTCTAGAGAGGTCTACTTTTCGTGCTTTTTCTTTTGGTCGAGTTCTATGTTTTCTTCAGTTGCCCCTACCTTTTGTTCTTTCAGAAATTTCTCCTTTCTCCGCCACCTGTGTGACGACCTCCAGGACAGCAAAGGTTTTTTTCACTTCTTACGTGGAACATTTATCTCTTGATCTGCCTTTAAAAGGTCGAAGTAGAGTCTATGCGTGTGCTTTATTTTCGTAAGGGCCTTTAATTTCATGTTACTCATAGAGTTCAAAAGATTTATTAAAAATGTTTACACACCACGCACTAGTAATTTAGCCTTTCTCTGTCATTATATGACAATGAAATAAAGGCAACATTTATATTTAAAAAGAAAGACAATTCAAAATATTCAAACATTTTTTCCCCTTAAAACGGCCAATTGGTTTTTCATCTGTCCTCCTCAGTCGTTGAAAGATCTATGGATGGGATCGCCCGACTCGATCGCCTCAAAAACAAACGTGTGTTTGTTTTCAGTTTCAGGAGATCGAGTCGGGCGATGAGCCCGATCCAGCCGTAGTGGGTACCCCGTATTAGATTATTATGACCTTTATTTTAAAAAGATATCTGTTTTGTCCATTAAAATGCGGTAAAAAAATTCGTGGCTCAAATTATCCCCAAATATCGCTTTCACGGGCGAATCAATGTCACTAATACTTTGCACAGCAGTTTGTATCAATTTGTCTTTACTCAATCACATTTTTTTCGCCACATTTGAGGCTAAATTGTACAGTTTTTCTTCATAAATTTATTTAAAGTATTATAAATCTCCGCCATGAAGAAAAGGGGAGTATTCACAGGACTTCCAGGTTCTCATGCACATTTTGCATACACATATTATAATTATTTGAACCTATACTCGACTATAAGAGACTGGGAGACTAGTGTTTGGTTGCCCATGGTGAGCGCGCTTTGCAGCGAAGTTTTTAAGTTTTTACTAGATTTAGATCTTCGTATCAGCTCACCAATGACACTTTTTCTAGTGGGAAAACGTGTTGCAAGAAATTTTCGTTTTTTATACTGAACACTTTTTGGCACTAAAGCAAGCGCGGCTAGTCCATAGAGCATGGTCGTGCAGTGCCGCCCAAAAATGTTAATGTTCTATTACGTAAAACGCGCACAATAATATAATAAAAGAAGCCAGAAACCAAATATTATATCAAAACATGATCCCAACTGGTGCCATAACTGCATTTCTGAGTCTATCTATAGCGCCGTAAAACATCTACTATGAGATGCCAAAGTCCATGCGCTTTAGCTGAACATAATAGGATATTCAACAGTATAACCTAGCCTATAAATCGCTCTTGGGGATAACCCAAGCGATGACTACACTCGTCGCGAGTTTGGCGGTACATTAATATTAATAAGACGGCACATCTCAAATGTGCTCCTGCCGAATAGTGCCGAAACATAGCCCACAGTAGGCAGTCTAAAAATAAGCGTGATAGACCGTACGCTATTCTTTGCCAATATTATGTGAGCCCCGGAGCAATCCAGCGGAGTGCTCAAGTGAATTGTGATTGGTTCATTATCTGTCTTCCCACTATTTTAAGTGACTCTGTGACCGTTAACCTGAGGGAGGTTAACGTGACTGTTCTACGAGTTGTGCCTTTGAATTGTTTTGTAGTGGAGTGGTGAAAGTTATTACTTGAGTGTTCAGTTCCAATACAGGATGAACGAAATTGGTGTTTGGCTAACAAACAAATTTCGAACTATAAATCGAAGCGGCAATTAAAAGAATGAAAATAATAACACGAGGTCCTCCCTCACCAACCCAAAGATCCTAAAATTATACACCGTCTCATTCACTATGCCCTTGACTATCTTCAGCATGCGATAACTTAATTGTCCACGTCCACTTTTTATCCCCACGAGCCGCCCCTGCACTAAAGGTGCTAAAACATGTGTTCAATAAACATAATGTCACGATTAGTAAAACATGACAAACTTACTCTTAAAGGCGAACAATAATATTGCCCCAGTTGTAAAACTTTAAAAACCTGTAGAAACCACCCACTTCGATTTTTTTTAAAAATCAGTGTTTATTAAAGAATTTTCAAGAATACTTCTAACATAATATAATATGTTTAGAAAAATATCTATCTGTTAAGACAAATTGATTCAAGTCATTGTGCAAAAGCAGGAGAGTCTGTGTTCAATAGTTTTGGAAATATTTGACAATAACTTGCAATACGAATTTCTGACCGCACAATAGTATGTGTATATGTTTGGATTTTTACATCTACTTGCAGGTACTGTTTTCTTGCTTGAGGTTTTGCAATGAATGTATTTATTAACTTTTTCCATTCATTTTTCCTTTTCTCCACACTGGTAATTAATTACCCATGTCTCTATCGTTTCATAGCATATTTTCCTGTTTCAAATGTAGCGTCCTGTATTTTATGGGGTCACCTATTTTTTTCTTGGGCTTAACTTTATTAATTTTTTAGTCTGGGAAATCTTTGACCGTCTCCTTTTCCTGATTTTTCTTTTTCCTGAGTAGTTTGTTTTCTTCAAAAATTGCCATTTTTTTTCTTCATACTGTGTGACAGCCTTCAGGGTGGCAACGGTATTTTTTTTCACTTTTATGGAAAACTGTTCTCATGATCTGTCTTCAAAGGTCAAAGTGGTGTCTATGTTTGTGTTCTCTTTTCTTAAGAGCCTTTAATTTCACTTCACTTACAGATTTCAAAAGGTTATAAAAATGTTTACACATTACAGGTAATTTCAACCCTGCTCTGTCATTATATGACAAAGAAATAAATAAAACATTTATATCTTTCCGTGAAAGACATTTCAAAATATCCAAAACCCTTTTCCTCAAAACGGCCGATTGGTTCTTTACCTGTTTCCCTCTGTCGTCGAAGAATAGTTCTTAAGGCCCGGTTACACGTAACGA